CACTGAGTGACCACTGAGTGACCACTGAGGGACCCTGAGTGACCACTGAGTGACCCTGAGTGACCAGAGTGACCACTGAGTGACCACTGAGTGACACTGAGTGACCACTGAGTGACCACTGAGTGACCACTGAGGGACCACTGAGTGACCACTGAGTGACCCTGAGTGACCACTGAGTGACCACTGAGTGACACTGAGTGACCAGTGAGTGACCACTGAGTGACCACTGAGTGACCACTGAGTGACACTGAGTGACCACTGAGTGACCACTGAGTGACCCCGAGTGACCCCGAGTGACCACTGCCCGCTGTCCTGGGGCTGTTTTGGGGCTGGGGGCATTTGGGGAGGGCTCGGGGGGGTCTCAGGAGCTCCTGGGGAGGCTCGGGGATTTTGGGCTCGGGGATTTTGGGCTCGGGGATTTTGGGGGTCTCTGGGATTTTGGGGTCTCTCTCCCGCATTTTTGGGGTCTCTCCCCATTTTTGGGCTCTCTCTCCCCATTTTTGGGGCTCTCTCCCCATTTTTGGGGTCCCTCTCCACCATTTTTTGGGTCTCTCTCCCCATTTTTGGGGTCTCTCTCCCCATTTTTGGGTCCCTCTCCCCATTTTTGGGGTCTCTCTCCCCATTTTTGGGGTCCCTCTCCCCATTTTTGGGGTCCCTCTCCCCATTTTTGGGGTGTCTCTCTCCCCCATTTTTTGGGGTGTCTCCCCCATTTTTGGGGTCTCTCCCCCATTTTTGGGGTCTCTCTCTGACACATTTTGGGCTCTTGCTGACACATTTTGGGCTCTCTCTCCCCCATTTTTGGGGTGTCTCTCCCCATTTTTGGGGTCCCTCTCCCCATTTTTGGTCTCTCTCCCCCATTTTTGGGGTGTCTCCCCCATTTTTGGGGTCTCTCTCCCCATTTTTGGGGCGTCTCTCCCCCATTTTTGGGGACTCTCCCCCATTTTTGGGGTGTCTCTCCCCATTTTTGGAGTTTCCCCCATTTTTGGGCTCTCTCTTCCCCATTTTTGGTCTCTCCCCCATTTTTGGGGTGTCTCTCCCCATTTTTGGGGTCTCTCTCCCCCATTTTTGGGGTCTCTCTCCCCATTTTTGGGGTCTCTCTCCCCCATTTTTGGGGTCTCTCCCCATTTTTGGTCTCTCCCCCATTTTTGGGCTCTCTCTCCCCATTTTTGGGGTCCCTCTCCCCATTGTTGGGGTCCCTCTCCCCATTTTTGGGCTCTCTCTCCCCATTTTTGGGCTCCCTCTCCCCCATTTTTGGGGTCTCTCCCCATTTTTGGGCTCTCTCCCCATTTTTGGGCTCTCTCTCCCCCATTTTTGGAGTCTCTCCCCATTTTTGGGGTCCCTCTCCCCATTTTTGGGGTCTCTCTCCCCATTTTTTGGGTCTCTCTCCCCATTTTTGGGGTCCCTCTCCCCCATTTTTGGGGTCTCTCTCCCCATTTTTGGGGTCTCTCTCCCCATTTTGGGGTCTCTCTCCCCATTTTTGGTCTCTCTACCCCATTTTTGGGGTCTCTCTCCCCATTGTTGGGGTCCCTCTCCCCCATTTTGGGCTTTCTCGGACACATTTTGGGGTCCCTCTCCCCATTTTTGGGCTCTCTCCCCATTTTTGGGGTTTCTCTCCCCCATTTTTGGGGTCCCTCTCTCCCCATTTTTGGGCTCTCTCTCCCCATTTTTGGGGTCCCTCTCCCCATTTTTGGGGTCCCTCTCCCCCATTTTTGGGGTCCCTCTCTCCATTTTTGGGGTGTCTCTCACCATTTTTGGGCTCCCTCTCCCCCATTTTTGGGGTCTCTCCCCATTTTTGGGGTCCCTCTCCTCCATTTTGGGCTCTCTCTCCCCATTTTTGGTGTCTCTCCCCATTTTTGGGGTCTCTCCCCATTTTTGGGGTCTCTCTCCCCCATTTTTGGGGTCTCTCTCTCCCCCATTTTTTGGGTCTCTCTCCCCATTTTTGGGCTCTCTCTCCCCCATTTTTGGGGTCTCTCTCCCCATTTTTGGGGTCCTCTGCCCCATTTTTGGGCTCTCTCTCCCCATTTTTGGGCTCTCTCCCCATTTTTGGGCTCTCTCCCCATTTTTGGG